GTCACAGGTATTCGGGCTAATTCACGCTGAACGCCACTGACTACTCCAATCCGTTGGTAGATCCTTTCCTCAAATTTCTGATCACCTGTAAACACGACCCGAGGTGTGCTTGAATTTTTACATCTGCTCTACTACTTTAGTTTATTTGAGGTTTATCTGAAGACAGCAGCGGGCAGGAGAACGAGAAAGCACTAGGCTTTTTGTTTTAGATACGCTCACACGCCGGCCAGCCACGTCGCACTCAGCTGCGAACCTTTTTGGAGAGCGCTGTAGATCAGTTTCAGAAAATACCAACAAAACAAGGTCGATTGCAAGTTGCAGCCGTCACTTCTCGACATCTTTTACGCTGATACACTCATCGCCCTGGCTGCGCCTGACTGTTCTATCCATGTACAAAACGCAGCCGTGGCGGAGACCAATGCCAGCGTTGAAGTTCTCGACTTAACGGCATTTTCTTTGACACAGCACCGGATGTCAACTTATAGTGATTGCATGCTTCCTAGCAACTGACCAAATAGCTGATCCCTCATGTTTGCCGTCACGCCTATGGCTTGTCACGCTAGATCAAGTCGTAGGCTGTGCTCATCTGAACAATGCACATGTAAGCCGGATGAGCGAACTCCTACGATTTCTCAACAGTTAGGTGTAGGGGGAAGATCTGGTCAGAGGTGCTTCGGCCACACTGTTCTTCGTGTATTTTAGAGTAAGTTATTCCACGGCACTTCCTTTTTATCACCTTTGCATAGACGTTACCCTGGAAAATAAATAAGGCAATGCTCTGATAATTAGAGCACTCCCTGTAATTTTTCTTCTTGATTTGGGTACTACAAATGCCGTTCTGCAGTTCGCTGGTGTCTTCCTCGTGGTCAATGCAGTTAGATCGATATCTGTTTGCCACAACATGCCTCGTTCGCATTAAGCTTCAAGTGTGATTTCATCAATTACAGCAGCCCTGCCACGTTTTAAGTCATTTACAGCTTCTATGACTTCGTCTACTGAACGACTAATATCGGTTGCTTGCTGCTGTTTGGACGAGTCTTCCTGTGGTGACTCCTAAAGTAATTTCGCCATTGCCGAAGTATATCCTCTTCCACAGTAAGAAGGCGTCCGGACATCCTTTTGATGTTCTAAGACTGCCTTTCTTTCCATCTCGCAGGTGGCGGATGATCTGCCAGAATGCCCTTTTTGCCATCTGGAAATTAAATTGCAGCAGCTCACCGAACCCAAGAGTTAATTTTCGCTTTGGCCACTGCGTTCGCTTTTGCATTCCCGTTGAAGGAAGTTTGTTTTTAAGGCGCCTCTTCAATGCAGATTTTTTTCTTGCTGACTGCCAGTTGAAGTGCTGATGTCTACCAGAAAGTTCGTTTCAGATCCACAGGCTGCAGGCCTACCCGTTTTAAGCCGCAGCATTTGGTGGCAGCTCTGAGTTGGCCGCTTTTAAAGTGCTTCCACTGCTTGCGGTCAGTCGTCATCACTAGGAGCTGTTCAAACCGTCGTACGATGTGGCTTCCAGGTTTTGCCCTCGTATCCGCGTTAGATGATAGTTTCCGTTTGATTTTTGCTTCTGCTACCAGGTCTTGACATGATACTTCATTTTTCACAACGTAACGTGCCATCAACACGATGATGATCAGTTGGCAGCCCTGCGCATCTCTTAACGCGAACATGCACGCATTACAGAACGTCGCAATTCGGTACGATTGTCAGATTTATCATCGACTTTTGTGTACAATCTTCGCTGTACCAATTAGGTTGAAGCTTGTTTTGATACTACAAAACGACAGTCCGTCTTTGCGCTAAACCGCAACAGTTTCTTGCCGTTATTATTGAGGTCACTAAAGCTGTTTTTCTAATCACCCATTTCCACTTTTCATTGTCTGTTCCGACGTGCGCATTAAAATCATCCTTTAGGAGGAAGAATTCTGTAGTTGAAACTTCGTATAAACTACTTCCGTACTTTCTACTTCCAGAAAGGACTCATTCTGTTACCAAACTGGGTGCCCTGGATTTTTAATACGGTCAGAGTTTTTGCGTGTCATAGTATTGCCACACACCCGCTGACTGACTTCCATTCAAGGATTTGGTCAGCCATGTTGTTTTGTACCACAGCTCTAATATGAGCCTTAGCGCGGTTTGTTGAGTTGAAACCTGTGGAATATAAAATATCTTCACCTCCATAGGATTAGAATTCTAGAGCCTTGTCGTCCTTTGAGAGTTTGACTGTTGATTCATTACCTTTCAGCGCCATCAACTGTGCCTTCTCTTTACTTCTGAGTGAGGATATGTTCCAATTTTCAACTATGAGATTCTTAAATCGGTATGGTTCACATAGAGCCTTATCCGATTTGCTGTAATGGCAGCATGTTGTCTGCCTCCTCCTTTCAGAATGGTAATGGCTCTATTAGTGACTAGTATTTCCATCGTCTTGTCGATCTTCTATGGCCCTTGTCATGATGCTACGCTTGCAGCTGTCAGAGCGTGAGGCGGAGGTACTGATCGCTGAAGTTTTGCCTTCTGCTTCACTTACCCCAAAGCGTGCTCTCCCCTTTGTAACTCAGGCGACGACTGAACCGGTATAACGTTCGATAACGAAATCCCACGCCTAACAGGTGGCTGAGTTTCACGGGAACCTCGACAACACGTTTCCTGACTCTCCTCCTTTGTCATCCGGGTTTTGGACCGGCAACGTTCCCATCGATATTAATACGAGAAAAACAGTGGGAAAGTTTTTGTACTATCTACTCTTTGAATATTGGATGAGAGCTTCAAAAGCAATCGAGGAAAGGGAAGGATCCCAAGTTCTAGAATGGATGGGAAATAATGTCTTTAGCGATTTTGTTAAATAGAAGTCTATTTAGAAACATTGTTTGTACTTCTGTGTGGTTTCGTCGTTCTTCTGAATGCACGTTACATTTGTCATTGAACTGTTAGTTATTATTTTTGGCATCGCTGTCGTAGACTGAATTATGCGTAAGCAGCAGATCTGTGTAATAATGATATTTAAGGTAACAATAACTAGTCTATTGTAGCGAGTAAAGTCTGCAGTCCCTCCCCTACTGATATCTAGAAAATACCGCGCTGCTAATGATGAGCAGAATGTTTTACGCCATTCAGAGCAGTTGTCCAGAATTAAACCTCATTGTCCACGGTAGTAAAATGAAAGGCCTCTTTTGAAAGCTCAAACATATGATTAACGAAGGTGTGGTAATTGGGTATGACGTAGTTCGTTATGCCATTTAAAATTCTTATCGACGAGAATTACTTCGTGATTACCGATCAGGAACGAGAATTAGTAGCCGCCGCCTGGTTTTAGACCCTTTAAATCTTTTCACATGTCGTCTGCAGTTCATGTAGAAAACCCGTTGGCAGCCTGGAAGTTACTTGATCGATTA